TCCGCCACTGCTTAACACCCTTATATTATTCACCGTGTTCAGCTATGTTAGGGTAACTCCAACGGGGCGACGCATTTCGTCCACCCGCGTCCGTTTCTGTCCGCGTGGGCAGAAACCACGGCCCAACGTGGCGACGCAAATGGATCGATGTCCGTTTTGCTGTCCGCTTTGACCAATTTCTAGCCCATATTTGGGCTTGGTTTGCGTCCGCGCAAACATGCCATGGACGCCCGCGTTGTCCTCCCTTGGCTCTCCTTTGCCCAAATTTGGCAAAGGATTTGTGCAACCGACGCCTAGTATAATCCTAACAGTTGTGAGATAGTTATTGGTGAAGTTTGCCATGTAGAACAATGTGATGATGTGGCAGAAAATAAGTAGAGAGAGAAATGTTATATGTAAATTAACCAAGTCACAGTTGTGAAATTGTTGTTGGCAAAGTTTGCCATATAGGACAATGTGACATAATAAATAAGTAGAGAGAGAATTTGTTGAATGTAAGTTAACCAAAAAGCACAAGCTTCAAACTTAGTGGGAAATTTAATATTTCTCATCTCCTATTGAATAGCATAGACATACTCTGTTGGAGTATTGTATGATTGATTGATCATTAGTTGATAAATATCGACGATCCACAAAATGTTGAATATGCTTTAGATGGTATTTTTGCTAGAGAACTTAGCTTGGTTAAACATCGTTGATTGTACTGTTTTTGGTTGAAAGTAGACATGTGCATGGGCAGCCCGGCCCAGAGGCCCGAGCCCGAAAGCCTGGCATCCGGTCCACGCTCAGGCTCCACTTTCTCACCCGAAGCCCGGACTGAAAGCCCGGAAGAACCCTGAAATGACCATATATAGATATTTTATTCTAAATATAGGTATAATATATTAATATAATATTCCGAATATAATTATTTTAGTTAAAAAACAGCACTGTTCATGAGTTTCGGGCCAGGCCGGGCTCAGTCTTGGGATTTTCACTTCGGGCTTTTCCAAGCCCGGCCCGGGAAAGAAACAGTGTTGATGGAGTGGTTATGGGTAGCAATAGCAAATGCGTACATGAGGGAAAAAATGATGCCATAGGGGGGTATGTGAAATTCTCTTTTGTAGTTCACTGTTTTTGATGAGTACAGTGATACCAAACATTTTCCTTAACTGAGACATTGCTCTTTTCGCAGTTAGTTATCCTTTCGGAGACGGGACACCATGATCAATACCATGTGACTTGACCGAACGGCCCAGGAAGATAGGTTTGGGAGTTCAGGACAGATACATGCTTCGGTGAATGGCAAGCGTGTAACCTGCAAGTTTCTGCTAAATGCATTTGATTTCTGTGGCGGTGTAACTCATTGGCATATCCTTGTACCGCAAGTACTGGTGCAGGCAAAGTGACTGCTGTTTCCTTTGTGCGTGAAAACGGGAACCGTCATGTGAGCTGACCCTGTACATTTCTGAATGCTTGTTGAGTCCCTACTTTATGTATGTCTTGTTCGATGAACAAACAAGTATCCTGGTCCACTGAATGAACAGAAGTTGAGGATCCTGAAACTGTATACTACAGTTCGAAAGGGGAACCACTTTGATTTTTGTGGTAATTTTGGGCTTCTTGTTTTTACCTGGTGCTGTCACGTGTTTCGGTGTGCGCGTCGCCGCTGTGGTTGAATTCAGGCGGTCACCGCTAGTGCGAGCCTTCATGAAGCAACCGCTTTTCTTCTCGCCTTAGTCCCGTGCTCTCTCTCTCTCCCGGAAATCAGAGGCATTTTCAAAGCACCCACCGAATTGTCCTCAGATGTAGAACATCTTCAAGGCGGCTCGTCAAATCGCCTTCAAATGTCTCGAACGTCCTAACATTTTTAGGCCTCCAACCTGGCCCATTTTGACCCAGAACGTTTGAAATCTCCTTGGCCAGCCCCAAACTGGGGAACTGTGGGGGAGTTCAGACGTTTGTCATGTTCGACTCTGCACCCTATCCCACCCAAAACCATGTTTAGAGCCTTAGAGCCTGCATTTTTTTGCAATTCGTCCTTCCTCCACTTTCCATCCATGCTCCTTGAGACTGACGTTGATGTTGTACCCCCTCGGAGCCGCGTGGGCCTTGTCGGACCTCCGCCGCCCCACCAAACCGCCTCTCCGCCAAGACCCCGCCCCTGCCGACGCAGTCCATGGCGGAGCGTGCCTGGTAAGTGTTCAGTACAATAGTTTAATTTTTTTTATGTACTCGTTGTGTATTTTGAAAACTCCGCCTATGTTGTCTCAACATAGCCGGTCCCAAGCCCGGGTAAAGGAGGAGGGTTGTAATAGGCTTGGCGAGCCAACATAAAAACTCAGCCACTCTTATGGAGATGAAACCCAAAAGATTTTAGTTGGGGCGTAACCCTCTCAGCGACGCGCCACATCGGAACCCGGGTGTGGTGGAAAATGAGCAAGGGTCGGGCCGTCACCCACCAGGTGGCGCGCCGTATCTTGATCCGGATACGGTGGCAAGTGAGCGAGGATCGGGTCGTCGCATCCTTAGGGACGCGCTACATCGGCGCCCGGATGTAGTGGAAAATGAGCAAGGGTCTTCACATTTGACTTGACGAGTGCGAAGGGTAAGGAAGCTAGCCGAGCCTAGGAGGATTCGCTTAGGTAGCTGGAACATAGGGTCTCTGATAGGGAAGCTTCGGGATCTAGTTGATGCAGCGGTGAGGAGAGGTGTTGATATCCTTTGCGTCCAAGAAACCAAATGGAGAGGACAAAAGGCGAAGGAGGTGGAGGATACCGGCTTCAAGCTGTGGTACACGAGGACGGCTGCAAACAGAAATGGCGTAGGCATCTTGATCAACAAGGGCCTCAAGTATGGAGTGGTAGACGTCAAGAGACGTGGGGACCGGGTTATCCTGGTCAAGCTGGTAGTTGAGGACTTGGTTCTCAATGTTATCAGCGCGTATGCCCCGCAAGTAGGCCACAATGAGAACACCAAGAGGGAGTTCTGGGAAGGCCTGGAAGACATGGTTAGGAGTGTACCGATTGGTGAGAAGTTCTTCATAGGAGGAGACCTCAATGGCCACGTGGGTACATCTAACACAGGTTTTGAAGGGACGCATGGGGGCTTTGGCTATGGCATCAAGAATCAAGAAGGAGAAGATGTCTTAAGCTTTGCTCTAGCCTACAACATGCTTGTAGCTAACACCCTCTTTAGAAAGAGAGAATCACATCTGGTGACTCTTAGTAGTCGCCAACACTCTAGCCAGATTGATTTCATCCTCTCGAGAAGAGAAGATAGGCGTGCGTGCCTAGACTGTAAGGTGATACCTGGAGAGAGTGTTGTACCCCAGCATAAACTGGTGGTTGCTGACTTCCGCTTTCGGATTCGTGTCCAGCGGAATAAGCGTGCCAAAGTCGCTAGAACAAAGTGGTGGAAGCTCAAGGGGGAGGTAGCTCAGGCGTTCAAGGAGAGGGTCATTAAGGAGGGCCCTTGGGAGGAAGGAGGGGATGCGGACAATGTGTGGATGAAGATGGCGACTTGCATTCGTAAGGTGGCCTCGGAGGAGTTTGGAGTGTCCAGGGGAAGGAGAAGCGAAGATAAGGATACCTGGTGGTGGAATGATGATGTCCAGAAGGCAATTAAAGAGAAGAAAAATTGCTTCAGACGCCTATACCTGGATAGGAGTGCAGACAACACAGAGAAGTACAAGATGGCGAAGAAGGCTGCAAAGCGAGCTGTTGATGAAGCAAGGGGTCGGGCATATGAGGACCTCTACCAACGGTTAGGCACGAAGGAAGGCCAAAGGGACATCTATAAGATGGCTAAGATCCGAGAGAGGAAGACGAGGGACATTGGCCAAGTCAAATGCATCAAGGACGGAACATGCCAACTCTTGGTGAAGGACGAGGAGATTAAGCATATATGGCGGGAGTACTTCGACAAGCTGTTTAATGGGGAGAATAAGAGTTCTACCATTGAACTGGACGACTCCTTTGATGAGACCAGCATGCGTTTTGTGCGGTGAATCCAGGAGTATGAGGTCAAGGAGGCTTTAAAAAGGATGAAAGGAGGCAACGCGATGGGCCCTGATTGTATCCCCATTGAGGTGTGGAAAGGTCTCGGGGACATAGCGATAGTATGGCTAACCAAGCTTTTCAACCTCATTTTTCGGGCAAACAAGATGCCAGAAGAACGGAGATGGAGTATATTAGTACCAATCTTCAAGAACAAGGGGGATGTTCAGAGTTGTACTAATTACCGTGGAATTAAGCTGATGAGCCATACAATGAAACTATGGGAGAGAGTCATTGAGCACCGCTTAAGAAGAATGACAAGCGTGACCAAAAATCAGTTTGGTTTCATGCCTGGGAGGTCTACCATGGAAGCCATTTTCTTGGTATGACAACTTATGGAGAGATATAGGGAGCAAAAGAAGGACTTGCATATGGTGTTCATTGACTTGGAGAAGGCCTATGATAAGATACCGCGGAATGTCATGTGGTGGGCCTTGGAGAAACACAAAGTCCCAGCAAAGTACATTACCCTCATCAAGGACATGTACGAGAATGTTGTGACAAGTGTTCGAACAAGTGATGTCGACACTGATGACTTCCCGATTAAGATAGGACTGCATCAGGGGTCAGCTTTGAGACCTTACCTTTTTGCATTGGTGATGGATGAGGTCACAAGGGATATACAAGGAGATATCCCATGGTGTATGCTCTTTGCAGATGATGTGGTTCTAGTTGACGATAGTCGGACAGGGGTAAATAGGAAGTTAGATTTATGGAGACAAACCTTGGAATCGAAAGGGTTTAGGCTTAGTAGAACTAAAACCGAGTACATGATGTGCGGTTTCAGTACTACTAGCTGTGAGGAGGAGGAAGTTAGCCTTGATGGCCAGGTGGTTCCACAGAAGGACACCTTTTGGTATTTGGGGTCAATGCTGCAGGGGGATGAGGGTATTGATGAAGATGTGAACCATCGAATCAAAGCCGGATGGATGAAGTGGCGCCAAGCTTCTGGCATTCTCTGTGACAAGAGAGTGCCACAAAAGCTAAAAGGCAAGTTCTACAGGACGGCGGTTCGACCCGCAATGTTGTATGGCGCGGAGTGTTGGCCGACTAAAAGGCGACATGTTCAACAGTTAGGTGTGGCGGAGATGCGTATGTTGAGATGGATGTGTGGCCACACGAGGAAGGATCGAGTCCGGAATGATGATATACGAGATAGAGTTGGGGTAGCACCAATTGAGGAGAAGCTTGTCCAACATCGTTTGAGATGGTTTGGGCATATTCAGCGCAGGCCTCCAGAAGCTCCAGTGCATAGCGGATGGCTAAAGCGTGCGGAGAATGTCAAGAGAGAGCGGGGTAGACCGAATTTGACATGGAAGGAGTCCGTTAAGAGAGACTTGAAGGATAGGAGTATCACCAAAGAGCTAGCTATGGATAGGGGTGCGTGGAAGCTTGCTATCCATGTGCCAGAGCCATGAGTTGGTTGCGAGATCTTATGGGTTTCACCTCTAGCCTACCCCAACTTGTTATCCATGTTCCAAGCTTCCACGCATGGATGACGATGCACGAGATACCGATGAACCAACGCCCGCAGGGCATTGGACAGCTACACCATCTCACGACGTATACATGATGGATACCCCTAAAGGAAGCGACAACGAGGAAAAAGGGGACGGAACGGGAGATCGACCCCCCAGAAAGCAATCAAAGCGCAGGCGAAAACACCGACCCAAGCCCCGCCTCGAGGAAAACCCAGCCATAGAGCAGGACGAGCCAGTAGACGACGAGAAGGCCTCAGAGCAACCGTCCAAACAGGGCAACACAGATAGAGAAACCGAACATCCCTCCCCTGGCGAAAACGGCATTCCGGACAATTTTACGCCGGATAAACCCATAAAGCAGAAGAGTCTCCACAAGAGGCTAGCCGCAACTGCACGCAGTCTGAAAAAGCAAAAGCGGAAGCTAAAAACAGCGGAAGATGCACTCCGGATTAGATGGAGCAAAGTAATCAATACTGCAGATAAATACGGCGACGGTCGCCGCACTAAAAGCTATCCGAAAAGAAGGCTACTGCCTGAATTCGACGAAGAGGCCCTAGATCCCTCACATTCAAAAAATAAGAAAGCCACACGGTCGGATAGATGACCCCATAAAGCGGCAAGCGGCGCCGCACTTAAAGCGGCATGCGACCCACCTAAGGATTTGCATCATGGCCCAGCTAGGTCCATT